TAAGCTCTTTGTACCTTTTCTCATGAGCGTTTAAATGACCAAGTTTGGTGAGCATTCAATGCCACATGTTCAAGAACTACTTGTTCAAAAATATTGCTTATGTGTGTTCGGTTCGAAGGTGCTGAGTGGAGAAGGCCCCTCCAGGTGAAAAGGGGGTTTCGGTTATTTCCGACCTAGAAAAATGAAGGGAGTAACTGAGCCTTGAGATGAGTGCTGACGTGAGCTTATATGCCGAGTGAGACTGGGATATGCAATGAAAGGGAATAAATGGTGCAGATGTAAAACGAAGAATTTCTAAATTTCTAAAGGCTTCCATTCTGAAAAGTCATCGAACGGCGACTTTTTTTGATCTAGGAAAAATTCATGTCATCAATCGACATACCATTAGAAAGCTTGGAACATGTAGAATAAATGTAGATCGTCTCCTTTTCCCAGTTCATTTTTGAATTCACATATAAAATTTATCTATCTTCAGTAACAGCTGATTTTATGCAATACTTTGCGCTCCTTTCTGAAAGGATGAAATTTTAGAAAAAAGAGACGGTCTACGTTTTCTGGCAAAGTATTGCTTTGTGATACGTTTGAAAACTGGGCATCTTCATTTAATCTTTGCAGAAAAATTTCCTGAAAATTTCCTCACAAAAACACACATTTTTAGCTAAAATACATGTATATCTGAGTAGAGGGAAGCTAGAGAAAGGAGATGGACAATGTCGAACCCCTGTTTCGCGAGCTTTCTAACGTTATATAGATTGTTACACAGGTGCGATAAGGTGAGAATGACTCCTCCAGGGTGAAGGGGGTCACAGTGGTTGCAGCTCCTCCAGGGTGAAGGGTGTTTCACTTGGTATAGAAATTATAAAATGTCGACGGGGGGGGGGGGGGGAGCCATGGCATTTTCCCATCATTTTTCCTAGTCAAAGTTCATAATATATTCCTTATCACTGGTTAACTATTTTCTGAAATGAGAACCGATGTGTTGCTGATTAGCACACAACTATATTTCTGACCAACACCTTGTATTTTTTTAACATTTCCTTTTCCCTTTTCTTCATCACCCTGCCTGTTTTTGAAAATACCATAGAAATTTGCACGCGAGAACATTTGTTTCGGGAAAAGCTAGACAATTTTTAAGCATTTACGAATTTTTGAAAAAAGAAATTCGTAATCTGTAGAACAGCAACGTCAGCAAGGGGAGTGTTTTTAAAACCATCTCTTCCGTTTTAGAGAATATATAGTTTGCCTGGAGTCTATTGAAAAAGTGCTTGCTGAAGAGTGTGGGTAGTGATTCCTGAATATTTACGAGTTTTTAGGATAGAAAACGTAGCTTCTGGAGATGAATACCTTGTACGCCATGATAATCACCATTGGAACCGTCTCGTCTTCCGCTTTCAGAAAATATATACTTTGCCTAGGGTCCTTTGAAAAAAGTGCCTGGGTGAAGGGTGTCCTAGTGATTTCTGGAGATTTTCGAGTTTTTAACATAAAAAAATTCATAACTTTTGATGATGAACATCTTGTACGCCGTGATGGTCATCTTTGGGACCGTCTCGTCCTCCGCTTTCAGAAAATATATACTTTGCTTGGGGTCCATTAGAGAAAGTGCCGGGTGAAGGGTGGATGAGTCTTTTATAATGGGGGTGCTCAAGTACAAGCTTTTTTACCATTGTAAAAAAGACGTCTACTTGAGCACCCCCATTATAAAAGTCTCACCCACCCTTCACCCGGCACTTTTTCTAATAGACCCCAGGCAAAGTATATATTTTCTGAAAGCGGAGGACGAGACGGTTCCAAAGGTGACCACGGCGTTCAACATATTCTTCTACAAAATTTATTAATTTTTTTACGTTAAAAACTCGAAAATTCCCAAACATCGCTAGGCACACCCTTCACCGCAGTTTCTTGAACGGATTTCAAATATGCTATATGCTTTCTGAAAGCGGAAAAAGATGCGGTCCCAATAGTGACCATCTCGACGTAAAAGATGTTTATCTACAAAAGTATGAATTTTGCATGTTAAAAACTCCAAAATGTTCAGAAATCACTACTCACACCCGTCACCAGGCATTTTTTCAACAGATTTCTCCATTCCTGTACATAAACAAATCACGTACAAACATCTCCTTTGCTTAACCTTACCTCACTGTTGATTTTTTCTCGGTCTCTTTGGTGAAGGGGGTCACCTTGGTCCCGGCTCAGGGGTGAAGAGGGGGTGAAAAAATTCTCACACTATCGCACCTATGGATTGTTAGATGAAAAATTTGTGGAGAAAAAAATGGTCTTGTTCCGGTGATCCATGGGGTGGAGATACTTACTAGCTCGCTCAATCCCGACGCCTCAATGGCTTGGTTTTCATGGATCACCGGAACAAGACTTTTTTGGGGCGGGAAAGCTTAACCCAACAGCTTAGATACCATTCGAAAGCTGAGAGCACGAAAAACCGACCTAGACCGTCTCTTTTTTAGCTTTTCTGCGAAGCTAGATATGAGAAATTTTTATCTAACTATAATATTATCCAATTTTGTAGTTTATGCTTTGTTCTAAAACGAAAGGGTGTTGAGGCTTTGCATGTAAATGGAAAGTTCTTAAATTGAGTAATGCTCCCTTGTTTTCTTACATGCTCTTCCGAAAGAAGATTTGCTTCGAGTTTTCTCAGCGAAGATACATCCATCATTGGGCAGACTAAACTTCCTACTCTTGCGTAATTCTTCCCTGCGACAATATATATTTATTAAACATGTTGCTTATTCAAGGAATCAAACGACCCTCAGACTTTTTAGGTTTATCTCTATCAAGACTAAACCACTCTGAATGAGACAAAAAGTTTCAAGCCTGCGTTTTTCTCTTGCAAACGCTGTAAAAGTGCGGTCATGTTATGCACTGACTGAGAAGAAGCGGAAGCTGGCGGTCCCAAATAAAATGTACACCATTTATCACAGGTGTAATATTCTGCTATTATGCCTTAACCTTAGTCCCACCCTTAGGTGAAGGGGGCTGCTCTATCTATCGCACTTGTGGAACCGAACTTCGATTTATGTGTGCATTACTTGTAGTCGGTGCACTCAAAACCATGCCAATTAATCACTTCTAAGCTACTTTCCAAAGCACATTACGGATTTAAAACACCAATACTTCACACCTTTGAGGTGTAAGGCATAGTCCTTAATAGGGAGCTCTGATTGAATCTGTAAAAAATTAGTATGTCCCGAGTCAGATGAGACGCTATCTTTATTTAAAGGAGCTTTGACCTGAGTATGTGCATAGTGACGCAAAAAGCAGCAGCTGGCCTTCCGTCGTATATTCGTACTGCTACATACTTTTATAGTTTTTCAGACGTACTTCCGGTTGATTTTAGGCAGGCCCCCAAAATTTGATCCTTCTGTATTCTGATGCTTTTACCACGCTTTGCATACTGTCTGTCAAGGTGTCAAAATTTATGGCACTGTAAACGAAAAAGGTGCACTGAGCCCCCGTTATCACACGTGGGCGTCGTCTGTCATGACTCAAAGGTCTGCTTACGACAATCACTGTCTGCTAAAGATAAATGTCATGCCAAAGGGCTGATTGAAAAAAACGACTTTTCGAAGGCTCTGATAAGACACATAAATGTTTTTGAGGCATGTGAACGGGTAATGGCTGGTATATAATACTGTGCAAATCTCCTCCACAGCGTCGCCCCATCATGCGTACATTCATTCTATCTCTCTTTTTGGGTAACGTTCAATTGTATATCTCCAAAGTTTCGAATATAATTGGTACCTGCGTTTTAGGATTAGCATGTACAGCATGTGCAAGTTTATCTCCAGTTGAGCACTGGACTCGTCCTCCAATAACTCTTCCTCCATTAACCGAGTTCCCCAGAAATCGGACCTTTGGACCACTTACCATTCCGCCAAGAAACTCTACCGTCAATCCTCCAAACACCAAAGTTCCGCCTAGCAATCGGACTTTGATTCCTCCCTATACCGAACTTCCGCCAAGCAGTCGGTCTACCTGGTTCCCTCCCTTTACCAAGACAACGAAGGACTGGCAAACTACACCAGTGAGTTTCTGTCTCTCGAAACATTTTTTCATAAAGCACGCATATGTTCTTGCAAGGAAAACACTGGTAATATTTTAGCTAATCGCTCTTTTTTGACTATATCAGTTATTTATTGTTGTACTCACTTTTGCAAAAAAAAAGACAGCTTGCAATATAAACTATAAGGAGCCACTCGATTATACCAGCGAATTCCTCTTCTACTGAATAAAAGTTTTTAGGCTCCCACACGTGAGCCACACCCGGCAAAGCAATGCGCTTGCACGTACAAGAATATCTGGTTAGATTTGTTCTTCCTCATAGACTCCTCAGGTGTTATGACAAGTCATCGATTAGATAATGTAAGATGTTTATGAATAAATGAGTTTCTTCAACATTTTCAAAAAATTTCTAGGCCGTTGCATTTGCATTGTCTGTGGTGCAAAAAATGACTGTTGGACAGGGAGAAAAGGAGATGCGTGTCGGGTAGGAAACCTAGGCGATCATCTATACAGATTGAGATTCAGCTCAGAGGTTTGTAGGTGGGTTGAATTTGCTGCCAAAGCAAAAGTGCTTTACAATCTCACACACTGGCATTCTACTGAAGAGATGACGGATGGTCTTGAAATGATCTTCAATGGTAGTGCTGGGGCAGCCGTAAACTCGTAAGTTCTCCTCAGTTTGAAAACAGTGGTTCATGCATTCGCTTTTCTCGATTTACCAATTAAACTGCTTCAGGGCCATTCGTTTGGCCTCGAGCAGTTTCAAAGCTCCTGCACATCGCTTGAACGCTAAAAAACTTATAGTAATCGTCGCCTCTGATGGCCAGTAAGTTTCTTTCTTTGTTTATTTGATAAATCCATTTGTGCTAACATATTTCCAAAGTCCGGCTTAAAAAAAGTAATAAAAAAATATACCTTTAAAAAAATGATACCTTTCCTGTACACTATAATGCAATTTGTTTTTATCCAATTTATTATAGCAAAACAAACTATAGCGAAGCAATGAAGGCATCTCAAGATTTCAAGGCAAAAGGTGGAGATATAATAACTGTAGGTCGGTGAAGCCCTTTCTAAGTGTAGTGATAGTGTCACAATAATGTGTTTAGAATACGCTCAGGGGCTTTGCAAGGAAAAATTGCTTGGAAAACTTGCCACGGACCCATCTTATGCATTCTCAAATTGTGGTGGACCATTAAACGTTGATAAAATACGAAAAGCATTTTGCGATGGTAAGATCATTGGCTGAATTTTACCGCATGTATTTCTTTGAAGATAATAAACGTTGACTGATATAAATGGTTTGGATTAGGAAAAATCACAAGTGCTATTCTAGCCAATTGCTTCTGTATGAAGCAGTACAAACCGTTTGGCAAGCCAGCTAATGGATGCTATCGTGCTGTAGGCATACCTGCGGAACAAGTATGTTCTACCGATACTGGTAAAGTTATAGATACCAGCAAATTATTCTTTTCAGAAATTAGCTTCACGAAGTTGCTACTACCATTACTCTACCTTAGCAACCGTGCAAAGCTATGCGAAAGCCGAGTTCCTAGCCGAATGTGAGTTTTTAGAGCGTTTTCTCTTTAACTTACATTCAATAGTTTGCGGACGATTGCATTTCAGTGATGCCACCATGGGAGAGCAAATTCTGGATTGGATTGGAACGCAATTCTTATGGTAGCTTTGCTTGGCCTAATGGCGAAGAGGTAGGGCTATTTGTCACTTCTTCAGTATGCTGTCCAAACATTTTGCTCAGGTACACAACAACACCTTCAACATGTGGCCAGCTGGATATCCGAAAGCGCGAGGAGATTGTGTATATATGAGGAGAACTAATGGAAGGTACACATGCTGAGCATTATACAAGGACCCAAAATTCGACTCGATTCTAGGCTTTACTGGTACAACGCCAACTGCGACAAAGATGAGAACTATGCTTGTGAAAGAAGACCATGTGATACAGACAACTATTGCCTGGTAGATGATGAATGATAATATTCTTCACATCGTTGTTATTTCTTATATACACGTTATTATATTTCTTATCTTCCGCGAAATAAATGCAAGTTAGAGGTATACATGCAAATGGCGCATCTACTGTTCAAGTTGTTGGTGCTCTATACGGAAGATCTGCCTTCTTATAAAAAAAAGTCAAAATGCTACATATGAACGGGTTTAAATGCTTTGAGATTTCCACCATTAAGGAACAAATTGAGGAAACCATTTCATTGCCGGAATTCAGCAGCATCCGCTACTTTTCTTTGTACTTTTCATGCAGATGAATAAATCTGGCATGGTATTAGGCGGAGGGGCACACGCGAATAGAACGTCAACAGAGAAAGTGTTGTTAAGGTAAAACAATGACTCAAATCTATGGCAAAACCGCTTATGTGGGATACTCCAACATACCCTATTCTAATCTAAACTGGCCGAATAAAATAGTTGGCTTGAAGCTATGAAGGGAATACTAAGGCGAGAAAACGCTCAAGAAAGTAGAAGCGGCCACATTGTTTTCTCCCTTTAGAGTGCGTTGTCTGAAGATGCAAGTTTGAAATTTTGCTTTAGAGTAGACAGAATAATCGCGAAAATGATGACCATAATGCAAAGCGGATCTATGATAATTCTGATTACATTGAGCTTAAACTTGACCTGTTAGCTGAAACCCTCTTAAATTGATAGGCGGAGCGGAATGGTCCGCTTTGCGCCATGGAGCGGTTTTCTCTTTTTGAATCTTATCTTTTGCAGCAAGAATTAGGCGATTGCTTAGCTTGGAGAACTGCTCTCTTATAACATCAACATCTCATCAACTTGGGCGGACGGTTCCTCTAGATGTTCTAAAGTTTACCGTTTCTTCAACGTAGTCATGTTTTGGGTAAGCAGACGCAAGCCATAAGACCAATCGATAGGCTGAAGTGAAACGATTACAGTAAATGGGAATGCACTGTCCCTTTCCTCTTTGTCATCTCACACAAAGTTGAGTAGTGCGACCGACAACACTTGCGCGTAGAAGATGGTCACTGCCAGTTTCGTTCCGACAAGCAGGTCTCAGTACAATGTATTCTTCAAGAAAGGCGTGATGTTTTTGCTTTTCAAATCTACTACTTTATGAAAGTCTTTCAAACGTGTTCTGATAAATCTTTTGTGGCGTAGTTATTAAATGCTAATCAAATATATATATATATTTGATTAGCTGATTCAGACTATTGCTGGTTCACACTATATATGTTCCTTGCCAAAAAGCCGAGCTAAATAAGGTAGCTTCCCTTGTTAGATGCTTAGATGGCCCGGCTTCAATGATGTGCGGGCCCCAGCGCAGAAGTTTCCATCAATCTCTTCCCTCGCTTCAAACATCAATGAACCTCTTTGCTGACATCGGTGACTGCGTCCACGAGCTCCAGGGGCGGAAATCGTATCCAGCTGATTTTTCAGCTGGTCCATCCTTTCCACGAACACGTCTGCCCATCTCGTCGATGATCTTCCTCTTGTACGTTTCGCTTCGCGAGGAATCCACTCAGATGTTCTTAGGGTCCATCTGTCGTCTGTTCTTCTCATGATGTGTCCGGCCCATCGGTGTTTCGCTTTCGCAACGTATTCGCTGGGTCAGAAGACGGGACATTCTTCTCATATCCGTGCTGCAAAGTCCGACAAGATGTTGTTTGTGTCGGGCATCTCCAGAAGACTACGCTCTAACGCTCTGTGGGTGGCCTTTGAAGCTTTCGACGTGGCTACAGTGTCGGCTCAAGTCTCAGCTGCGTAACAGAGCGCCGGGAGAACGGTTGAGTCGAACAGGTGGGCACGTAGCTCTGGGTTCGTTAGTTGGTCGGTGGCTTCCTTCAGAGGCCCGAAGGAAGCTCAAACTGCTCTTCTTCTCCTTTTAAGTTCTTCCCTCAAGTCGTTCTCCATATTCATCGAGCGTCCGAGATACACGTAAGAAGTCACGTTAGGAGTGCCTTCCAATTCCACTTCCGTATCTTCGCAATGGGCGTTCTTTATGAACTGCGTCTTTTTCCCGAAAAGCACGTTGAGACGAACTGCAGCATTCTGCCGATCTTGAGAGAGAGTGAGCTTTATCTCCCTGCTTACAAGTTTACTGGAAAATGATTGGTTAGAGCATGTTGAACTTTCAGTCCAAATTCAAGTGAACAAATCGATAAATCAATAGATATACTCCACAAATCGCCGCAAAAAGTAGCCTATAATCTGCACAGGGATCGAATATCGATTACATAAGTGTGCAAAGCTTAATTTTTAACGATCATAATGTGCAAAGTCATAATTTAATGTGGCTTTGCACCAATCACTGGTAAACAACATATGTTTTTAAAGTTCAGTGTCTTTGCAAGCGCAACATCACTATTGTTGTCAACAAACACAGAAAATAGAAGCTTTCTCCTTTCTTGAATGACTTGGGATTGAATATAGGTTATTGAGTCTTGGATATCGACAGTGTCCTCACATTTTCTAGAGACAGTGGGGAGAGTTCTGAAGTGTAAAAAACAGTGTCACACAAACAATAACTACACTTTGTTGTTCACATCGGTGGGTAAACAACGGACATGCAGAACCCGCTTTTGACCAACTAGAGTCAATTCCAGCCACGTGAGGGATTGCTTATGTATAGAAGAAGTGTACAGTTTATTCCATGAAACTTTATTACGATGGCCATTTATTCGTCGCACAATGTATTGATTAATGAAAATGGCCGTAATCAGAATGTTTGGTATCTTGAAAACCAAGTACGCAAAATGCAATAACGCAACGAAACGATTTATTAGAAAAACTTGCATTTGATGGACGGATAACCGTTGAGAAAATTTACAAAGCCGAATCTATGTGTATTAGTAGTACATACTTCGGTAAGAATAACCGTTTTTTCTTTAGTCCTTATGTGTTGCTCTACGTCCCCTCGTAAAACCTCGCGTATTCTGAGCAGGCAACATCCTCTATACTTATCAAGGTTGATTCAAAGCAGCAAGCATACGAACCAAGCAGTGGCCACTGCCAGTCAGACGTTGTTGGGGAACAAGCCTTTAGCAGTGCTTTCAGTTTTGTAGAAGAACTTTATCAAGAGTGGTCTAAGCCACTTCAGCGATTTTTTCTGCTTTAAGGCCAGCGCCAACAAAGTTCATTCTTTCCGTTATCTATGCACGTGAATTGAGCGGCTAGCTAACTATTAGGGTGAACGGTAAAAAATGAGACACCTTGAGAATAATTGCAGATTTCTCAAGGAAGAAAAGTGACTGAACTTTCCAATTTTGATGGATATTAGAATAAATTATTCTCTTTCAGATAGTACCTATATAAGGTCATTTGAATAATTGATAATTTTTATACTTGCTAAAATGCAAAGTTAATTACTTCGAGAAAGTACTTCACTAATTTACGGGATTGGTGTCACATTTTGATAAACTTCCGTCTTTAGTGATTATTGAGGTGACGCAATTCCAATCACAGCTACATAAAATTTTCAAAAATTTGTACAAGCTATTTCAACTTACATGAACTCATTCTAATTTTGCTTGTTAGTAAAAAAGCAAGATCCCTGCATTTCACATAGACCAGTTTCAATGTTGCCAAACCCAGTAAATATAAAAAGCAACAGATTCTGAAGTTCGTTTACGGTTTGGTCCGCCACTATCCCAGAGTTATTTGCTACATTGACAACGAGTCTGATATCTCTATATTCGATATTTTTGATTACTGTTGTGGCATGTGAAAGGTAATGATCTCTTTTTGGACCAGCATACCCATTATGGCCTCATTATAATGAAGCAAACACTTTAACAGTTTCGTTTCAGTGTCTTCTTTACGTACAAAAAGCTGACAGTTGGTTCGAGAACTCAAGATTCAGAGAACATTGTACCCGTTATCGCGAATGGATTGAATAATCATAACAATATAATTTCGTTCAAAGTTCTTTTATGCAAGGTACAACGAGCTCAATAATTTGTTTACATCTCCATTGTAGATGAATCCGAAAAGGCTCACAATCGACACAATATCAGAAAAACCCTTGAAAGGTATAGCGTGTTATTAGCATACTTCTAGGAGAGCCGCACGAATACGAGAAACATTCGATGCTTCATTCTTGAGGTTGTGCCAGACTACGCGGCGTAACTGACGTACACGTCATATTGTCGCACCGGTCTTCAAAGAAGTTTGTACGGCGTTGCCATGGCAAGCGTTGACAGCGTGCTCAGAGTATTAATCTGGGTTCATACCGAAGTTTTGGAACAACTGCAGCACAGTTGATGCACAAAATGGAATCGCACTCATTCTTGTACCCTTCTTCAAGTTTGGAGCTTTTTCAATCACAAGGACAAGCGAGACTCAAGATAATAAAGAACAAAATTATGAAACCTTTAAAGAAAGTCAAAAATTGCTATTTTGCTCCGCTTAAAACTGCACGCGGGCAGCTGCAGCGCATGCAGCACAGGCACAATTCCAAGTACAGTACAAACTGTGCTGGTACTGTTCCGGAACTTCGGGATCAACATGAACCCACCTTAAGCCCAAGGCCTATCTCCAGCGATTTAGTCGAATTGATAGCCTACTTGACAGTTTGCCAGATCTTCACAGATTACCGTGCACAGCTCTTATATGCATACGCCCAACAGAATGCTTCTACGCCCAACGATGAAGAGTATTTGCGTGTTAAATCGCAGCGACTGAAGCATGAGATATGCTTAGGCCTTACGCAGGTAGCAGCTCAAACAGGACTAAACAGATAACAAGGTGGAAGTTTTGATAAGCAAAATCGGGGTGCATTATAATTTTTTTGTACATATAGTTCGTACTTTTATATTTTCGTTGAAAGTTTCCAGACATGATCAGCACTTAACGAAAATGTTGAACAAACACGCCATCCCTACCATGTACCGAGACGATCTTGCATGATTGTGTAAAAAAGTATTACTCCTCGAAAGGTCGAAGAGATTTAGTAGATAACAGACAGGTGCTGTCAAGACTACCTCTAGCAAGACGTAAACATAACGTGAAACCTGGCGATGCGTACGAGCTGTATGCTAATTTTGGTTTGATTCGGGGGCACACTGTATGCATGTGGGAAGGGCTTGTTCGGATTTGAGAAACTCTGTGAGATCTAGCCCTTGTGCGATGATGATGATATTGTCCGTATGATATTAAACATCACAGCCGCAGGCCTGTATCATCAGATACTACCTTGCTTTGAAATATACCTTGAGAAGGCATACCCGTATTCACAAAGCACAAGGTATGCTTGAGCAGTTGCTTGTATCCCAAGAAAAGACATTATGAGATATGAACCAACCCCAAAAATTTATTGAGCCGTCTTCGCGAACATACCTCAAGGTTAAATTAATGTTGAGGTTATGCAAATGCCTGGCTCAAGGTACAGATGCAAGGCAAATCTTACCTTAGCTTGGAGCAAGGTACAGCTTCGAGCCAGTGCATTTGCATGACCGCGAGGTAAACTGATCTTCAAAAATGTTTGTGAATACAAGTCAATGGCTTTAGGTATGTTTTATATATCTTACATATAAAGCTGAATGTCTGTTTGTCTGTGTGTGTGCCTGTACGTATGTTTCGAATAGAAAATTTGAACCGATCCGGACCAAACTTGGCACACATACATTTCGGGGCGGGGCGGGTGTCACAAGCTACTTTTCGTCATCGATCGGTATCGATTTCATCGATTCTTTGCAAAATTTAAGCTACGGGGCTGGGAGTTGGCACAGGGGGATAATGGAGCATGCTGATTACAAATATGTTATTGACAGGGCCGGGCGGAGTCGGGTTTGCCAACTAGTTTTGGGATATAAGCATTTGGGTATACCTTGCGAAGACGTGTGCGCCATCAAAGCATATTTCATGGATACGGCCGCAGAATTCCGTTTTATTTTCTCAATCCTGTGAAGAGGCCATCAAGAAAGGAAGAAGAATTCTACGGCTTTGAAGACCGTATGCTTTTTTGATATTTTCCCTGAACAAGCTCTATAACACCTACAGAGCAGACTTTTGATTAGAAAGATATTTTTAGGATGGAAAACCACGATCGAGTCATCCATAGCTCAACATGTTAGTGCACAAGACGCAAGCTACTTCTTTTTGAGTGCAGGGCTTTGATTTACAAAAAATCTCCATTTCCTTCACTCTTTTATCCTGATTGGACGAATGTTACAGTACCCATTTCAATCTAAAAAAAGGTCACCGATGAATCACTGGTAAGGAATCATGGGTTGCCGTATGTACTGTGGACTTAAACTGCATCAAACCTCCAATGATTCGCATTTGCTTACTCATAAAGTGCCATAGAATATTTTGAAGGCATTTAGATGAAGTTACTTAGAGATTGCCTTGCGGATCTTATCTCTAATGACATGGACAAAAAGCTACAAAAATATCAATAAGTTTTATCATTTCAACTGATGATCCGGTATTCTACTGCTAAAAATTTGAAATCTCTGAGGCTTCTCAAATTAAAGACGCTTATAATGGCTTATGGCTTTAGACATATGTATACCTCGACAAAGAATCCGCTTTTCTGCGCAAAAATTTGTTTGATGACTAAAGCCTTCTAAGCTGAAAAGCAAAAGATTGCGCTTGCAAGCCATGGCCTTTGCAGGAATTCGTACACAGACATAAACATGCACTTTTTATCAAACAGCGTAAAAATTTTCGCTGATGGGTTTAGCAAACGATATTCTGCGTCTGCGTCAAATATGGAATGTCTGTTCTTTGTAATTATTGCAGCAGCGCATAAGTTTGGCTAAAAAATTTGGGCACAAGAATTGTGAGAATAAAATAACCATTGATTATGGAAAGAGTTTGCTTAACTTAGAAAAATTGATTATTTTGTGAGTTCTAATCGAAATCCGTACACTAGAATCACTGCTACCGATTTGAAACCTCTAAGCAATAAATTCCGGAAACTCTACAGATAGTTTTTCTATAAAGACCACATGCACGAGCTACCCCCGGATAGGAGAGAACGGGTTGAAAGGAAGCTTTTCCTCCTCTTTTAGAAGTGTCGACTTCACACTGCCCGTGCATCTCGAAGTACAGGGGGTCCACATAAAACATGACTCTAAATTCTATAACTTTTCTCACTGCATAAAACTCTAAGCTATTATTTTCAAAATAAACAAAAAATGCTGATTAGCGTTTCGTGGATTACTTCCAAGGTGCTTGCCAACGTCATTGCTAAATTAATTTTCTTTTGGTAGACTTTTCACGATGCGCGCAATGTATTTTGACGGAACTTTGATCAAGTTTATTATCAGGCCTACTTTTCAAATGAAGTGACATGCGCTTAGAAAGGCAATTTTATTGTCTTCCGATAGGCTAAAGAGAGTAACCACTGTTAAGATCGGGCGAGTTGAAAAGCCAGACTTTATTTGTTCCCATCTGGTACACCCGGCACCACAAAATCCATTTTTTTAATCTATTTAATGTCGTGTTCCAACAGTAGTCGTCTTCTCCACATTTTCTTTTTTCATTGTGGTCGTTTCTGACTTCATCTACATTTATAATTAATCTAGCTCAAAGTTTTGTAATGCCAATAGCTATAATTCTAAATTCGCAAAATTTCTTTCATTAAACGCAAACATAGAAAAATCGTGGCACTTTTTTGGGTAAAAAAACTATGGACGCTTTTTTGACATGACTAGCCACCAATCCCGGCTGAAAACAAGGGACTGCAGTTGTGCAAAATCTATCATTCGGACATTGAAAAAAAAATAATATTTGGCCCTTTAACTCGCCCAACTCAAATTCAAGAAATTTTTTTTGTCTATCTGAAAAAACAATCTGCTCTCCAAAATCCATGTCACTTGATATGCTAGTAAGCGATCTAGTGAAAGTTTGGGACCAAATATCACTACGCGCATTTCGAAGAATTTTGGAATAAATTCAAAAGAAAATAAACGTTTTTACCGAAACCAAAGGTGGATGTCCCAAAAGTGTTTCAAAGGTCCTATGCGAAATTTCCTTTATTTGTCGGATAAAGATAATAGTTTTTGATGCCATTCAATCCTTGCAAAGTATAAATATCACTTCATGTGAAGCATATACGGCCTCTGCGCCGCATACCCATTTTCTTGCATGATGCCCTCCATGTAGTGATCATTAGCTATAGCAAAAGACTTTAACAATTTACAATAAAATTACAGTAGAAAGAAGTCACTTGCACAATTTTACCCCAAATATTGAGTGCCTCATATGCAGGAACGGGTGCATCTCCATCTCAAGATTTCCGCAAAGTCATGTGCTACATCAAGGCAACATATAGCACATGCTAAATACCACACTCGTTACAGTGAAAAAGCAATGTTTAGAAGCATTTTTGCGTGACCTACTTTCCGTTGATCCATCTTGACCGGAAGAGGTACTCAGCTGTGCGCGTGCCAGTTGATAGGGCTAAAAAACTCGCGAAACGAAACGGCTTAAAGTGCCTTTTTAGTTGATCTAATGCTTATCTTGTGCTTTGGACAGCTCATGAGTTACTTTTCAAATTAATTCTAATGCTTGTCTTGTGATTCAAACAGCTTATAGAATTGACAAACAAAGCACAGAGGGTTGGGTGATTGAAACACTTTTTATCCAACTATAATGAACATGACATTAGCCACCAATAACACTTCCTTATCACTTTTCCTTCATTCTTTTAGGATAAGAACACAAGGTTAGAAAACGTGGTAAAACAGATTGCCATTCCATATTTTTCAACACTTTGACGACAACGTGCGTTTTTAGTTGTCTGCCTCTTGGGATAATGGGATAAGAACACATCCCATTATCCCAAGATAATGCATTTCACGGAAAAATGGATAAATTTTAGCTAAAATCATGCCTTACAGTATTTTATGAAGCAGACGAGAAACACAAGAGCAATACTAGGGTTAGAGAGCAAAAAAAACTTTCAAAACAAATGCATTCCAAAATAGCAGTCTTTTCAACGAAATTCAAGCTGTGACCCACCATGTGGCCACGTTATCGTCTGTCAGTATTCCCCATTGTATTTCAAAGGACCCGCTTTCACTTGCGGCTAGCTTGTTAGGTTAGACTTTTGAGGATCTTTAGAGCAAAAAGTTAGTGAATAAATATCTAAAATTATTTATACTGATGAACGGTCTGATAAAGAGCTTCAAAAAAATGCCGGGAAGAAAAAAGTGGCAATACCTTCGTATTCCAATCCCGCCCACTAGCAATGACGCACACTTTGATAAGGAAAATAAAAACGATTAAGGGTGACACAAGAATTGCTGCTATGATCAGAGAGTATAAATTTTCCCCTAGTGAGACTCGACAGCCATTTACATCTTTAGCTCTCACATGAAACCCTATTTTCTAGCAGGTATATCTAACAAAATCTGCTCTTATTGTGAAATTTTACATAACTTCATTCAGGTCTACTTGGAATAATAGGACTAATAGGAGTGGCCATAGGATCGATAACATTTGGCGTTTTACTCAGACCAAAAGATGACACCTACGGATGGAGAAGTTTACGTCCAAGAACTACATTGAGGCCTACAACACCTAGTCGACACACCACTCCGAAAAGAGAACCAACGACCACAAAAATTCCTTCCACCTCAACGCAGCAACTGAACACTACACAGTCATTGACAACAACTGACTCAGTGACAGTAGAGTATCAAACGTCTCCTTCTCCTACAGAAATAAGCGCTACAACAACAGAATGGACACCATCCCATGAGCCCAGCACCGAGCCTGTCGAGCCATCAACGACGGAAGACATTAGCTCAACACACGAGCCAGTAACACCGTCTCATGAGCCCAGCACCGAGCCTGTCGAGCCATCAACAACGGAAGATATCAGCTCAACACACGAGCCAGTAACACCGTCTCATGAGCCCAGCACCGAGCCTGTCGAGCCATCAACAACGGAAGATATCAGCTCAACACACGAGCCAGTAGCACCGTCTCATGAGCCCAGCACCGAGCCTGTCGAGCCATCAACAACGGAAGATATCAGCTCAACACACGAGCCAGTAACACCGTCTCATGAGCCCAGCACCGAGCCTGTCGAGCCATCAACAACGGAAGATATCAGCTCAACACACGAGCCAGTAACACCGTCTCATGAGCCCAGCACCGAGCCTGTCGAGCCATCAACAACGGAAGATATCAGCTCAACACACGAGCCAGTAACACCGTCTCATGAGCCCAGCACCGAGCCTGTCGAGCCATCAACAACGGAAGATATCAGCTCAACACACGAGCCAGTAACACCGTCTCATGAGCCCAGCACCGAGCCTGTCGAGCCATCAACAACGGAAGATATCAGCTCAACACACGAGCCAGTAACACCGTCTCATGAGCCCAGCACCGAGCCTGTCGAGCCATCAACAACGGAAGATATCAGCTCAACACACGAGCCAGTAACACCGTCTCATGAGCCCAGCACCGAGCCTGTCGAGCCATCAACAACGGAAGATATCAGCTCAACACACGAGCCAGTAACACCGTCTCATGAGCCCAGCACCGAGCCTGTCGAGCCATCAACAACGGAAGATATCAGCTCAACACACGAGCCAGTAACACCGTCTCATGAGCCCAGCACCGAGCCTGTCGAGCCATCAACAACGGAAGATATCAGCTCAACACACGAGCCAGCAACACCGTCTCATGAGCCCAGCACCGAGCCTGTCGAGCCATCAACAACGGAAGATATCAGCTCAACACACGAACCAGTAACACCGTCTCATGAGCCCAGCACCGAGCCTGTCGAGCCATCAACAACGGAAGATATCAGCTCAACACACGAGCCAGTAACACCGTCTCATGAGCCCAGCACCGAGCCTGTCGAGCCATCAACAACGGAAGATATCAGCTCAACACACGAGCCAGTAACACCGTCTCATGAGCCCAGCACCGAGCCTGTCGAGCCATCAACAACGGAAGATATCAGCTCAACACACGAGCCAGTAACACCGTCTCATGAGCCCAGCACCGAGCCTGTCGAGCCATCAACAACGGAAGATATCAGCTCAACACACGAGCCAGTAACACCGTCTCATGAGCCCAGCACCGAGCCTGTCGAGCCATCAACAACGGAAGATATCAGCTCAACACACGAGCCAGTAACACCGTCTCATGAGCCCAGCACCGAGCCTGTCGAGCCATCAACAACGGAAGATATCAGCTCAACACACGAGCCAGTAACACCGTCTCATGAGCCCAGCACCGAGCCTGTCGAGCCATCAACAACGGAAGATATCAGCTCAACACACGAGCCAGTAACACCGTCTCATGAGCCCAGCACCGAGCCTGTCGAGCCATCAACAACGGAAGATATCAGCCCAACACACGAGCCAGTAACACCGTCTCATGAGCCCAGCACCGAGCCTGTCGAGCCATCAACAACGGAAGATATCAGCTCAACACACGAGCCAGTAACACCGTCTCATGAGCCCAGCACCGAGCCTGTCGAGCCATCAACAACGGAAGATATCAGCTCAACACACGAGCCAGTAACACCGTCTCATGAGCCCAGCACCGAGCCTGTCGAGCCATCAACAACGGAAGATATCAGCTCAACACACGAGCCAGTAACACCGTCTCATGAGCCCAGCACCGAGCCTGTCGAGCCATCAACAACGGAAGATATCAGCTCAACACACGAGCCAGTAACACCGTCTCATGAGCCCAGCACCGAGCCTGTCGAGCCATCAACAACGGAAGATATCAGCTCAACACACGAGCCAGTAACACCGTCTCATGAGCCCAGCACCGAGCCTGTCGAGCCATCAACAACGGAAGATATCAGCTCAACACACGAGCCAGTAACACCGTCTCATGAGCCCAGCACCGAGCCTGTCGAGCCATCAACAACGGAAGGTATCAGCTCAACACACGAGCCAGTAACACCGTCTCATGAGCCCAGCACCGAGCCTGTCGAGCCATCAACAACGGAAGATATCAGCTCAACACACGAGCCAGTAACACCGTCTCATGAGCCCAGCACCGAGCCTGTCGAGCCATCAACAACGGAAGATATCAGCTCAACACACGAGCCAGTAACACCGTCTCATGAGCCCAGCACCGAGCCTGTCGAGCCATCAACAACGGAAGATATCAGCTCAACACACGAGCCAGTAACACCGTCTCATGAGCCCAGCACCGAGCCTGTCGAGCCATCAACAACGGAAGATATCAGCTCAACACACGAGCCAGTAACACCGTCTCATGAGCCCAGCACCGAGCCTGTCGAGCCATCAACAACGGAAGATATCAGCTCAACACACGAGCCAGTAACACCGTCTCATGAGCCCAGCACCGAGCCTGTCGAGCCATCAACAACGGAAGATATCAGCTCAACACACGAGCCAGTAACACCGTCTCATGAGCCCAGCACCGAGCCTGTCGAGCCATCAACAACGGAAGATATCAGCTCAACACACGAGCCAGTGACACCGTCTCATGAGCCCAGCACCGAGCCTGTCGAGCCATCAACAACGGAAGATATCAGCTCAACACACGAGCCAGTGACACCGTCTCATGAGCCCAGCACCGAGCCTGTCGAGCCATCAACAACGGAAGATATCAGCTCAACACACGAGCCAGTGACACCGTCTCATGAGCCCAGCACCGAGCCTGTCGAGCCATCAACAACGGAAGATATCAGCTCAACACACGAGCCAGTAACACCGTCTCATGAGCCCAGCACCGAGCCTGTCGAGCCATCAACAACGGAAGATATCAGCTCAACACACGAGCCAGTAACACCGTCTCATGAGCCCAGCACCGAGCCTGTCGAGCCATCAACAACGGAAGATATCAGCTCAACACACGAGCCAGTAACACCGTCTCATGAGCCCAGCACCGAGCCTGTCGAGCCATCAACAACGGAAGATATCAGCTCAACACACGAGCCAGTAACACCGTCTCATGAGCCCAGCACCGAGCCTGTCGAGCCATCAACAACGGAAGATATCAGCTCAACACACGAGCCAGTAACACCGTCTCATGAGCCCAGCACCGAGCCTGTCGAGCCATCAACAACGGAAGATATCAGCTCAACACACGAGCCAGTAACACCGTCTCATGAGCCCAGCACCGAGCCTGTCGAGCCATCAACAACGGAAGATATCAGCTCAACACACGAGCCAGTAACACCGTCTCATGAGCCCAGCACCGAGCCTGTCGAGCCATCAACAACGGAAGATATCAGCTCAACACACGAGCCAGTAACACCGTCTCATGAGCCCAGCACCGAGCCTGTCGAGCCATCAACAACGGAAGATATCAGCTCAACACACGAGCCAGTGACACCGTCTCATGAGCCCAGCACCGAGCCTGTCGAGCCATCAACAACGGAAGATATCAGCTCAACACACGAGCCAGTGACACCGTCTCATGAGCCCAGCACCGAGCCTGTCGAGCCATCAACAACGGAAGATATCAGCTCAACACACGAGCCAGTGACACCGTCTCATGAGCCCAGCACCGAGCCTGTCGAGCCATCAACAACGGAAGATATCAGCTCAACACACGAGCCAGTAACACCGTCTCATGAGCCCAGCACCGAGCCTGTCGAGCCATCAACAACGGAAGATATCAGCTCAACACACGAGCCAGTAACACCGTCTCATGAGCCCAGCACCGAGCCTGTCGAGCCATCAACAACGGAAGATATCAGCTCAACACACGAGCCAGTAACACCGTCTCATGAGCCCAGCACCGAGCCTGTCGAGCCATCAACAACGGAAGATATCAGCTCAACACACGAGCCAGTAACACCGTCTCATGAGCCCAGCACCGAGCCTGTCGAGCCATCAACAACGGAAGATATCAGCTCAACACACGAGCCAGTAACACCGTCTCATGAGCCCAGCACCGAGCCTGTCGAGCCATCAACAACGGAAGATATCAGCTCAACACACGAGCCAGTAACACCGTCTCATGAGCCCAGCACCGAGCCTGTCGAGCCATCAACAACGGAAGATATCAGCTCAACACACGAGCCAGTAACACCGTCTCATGAGCCCAGCACCGAGCCTGTCGAGCCATCAACAACGGAAGATATCAGCTCAACACACGAGCCAGTAACACCGTCTCATGAGCCCAGCACCGAGCCTGTCGAGCCATCAACAACGGAAGATATCAGCTCAACACACGAGCCAGTAACACCGTCTCATGAGCCCAGCACCGAGCCTGTCGAGCCATCAACAACGGAAGATATCAGCTCAACACACGAGCCAGTAACACCGTCTCATGAGCCCAGCACCGAGCCTGTCGAGCCATCAACAACGGAAGATATCAGCTCAACACACGAGCCAGTGACACCGTCTCATGAGCCCAGCACCGAGCCTGTCGAGCCATCAACAACGGAAGATATCAGCTCAACACACGAGCCAGTAACACCGTCTCATGAGCCCAGCACCGAGCCTGTCGAGCCATCAACAACGGAAGATATCAGCTCAACACACGAGCCAGTAACACCGTCTCATGAGCCCAGCACCGAGCCTGTCGAGCCATCAACAACGGAAGATATCAGCTCAACACACGAGCCAGTAACACCGTCTCATGAGCCCAGCACCGAGCCTGTCGAGCCATCAACAACGGAAGATATCAGCTCAACACACGAGCCAGTAACACCGTCTCATGAGCCCAGCACCGAGCCTGTCGAGCCATCAACAACGGAAGATATCAGCTCAACACACGAGCCAGTAACACCGCCTCATGAGCCCAGCACCGAGCCTGTCGAGCCATCAACAACGGAAGATATCAGCTCAACACACGAGCCAGTAACACCGTCTCATGAGCCCAGCACCGAGCCTGTCGAGCCATCAACAACGGAAGATATCAGCTCAACACACGAGCCAGTAACACCGTCTCATGAGCCCAGCACCGAGCCTGTCGAGCCATCAACAACGGAAGATATCAGCTCAACACACGAGCCAGTGACACCGTCTCATGAGCCCAGCACCGAGCCTGTCGAGCCATCAACAACGGAAGATATCAGCTCAACACACGAGCCAGTAACACCGTCTCATGAGCCCAGCACCGAGCCTGTCGAGCCATCAACAACGGAAGATATCAGCTCAACACACGAGCCAGTAACACCGTCTCATGAGCCCAGCACCGAGCCTGTCGAGCCATCAACAACGGAAGATATCAGCTCAACACACGAGCCAGTAACACCGTCTCATGAGCCCAGCACCGAGCCTGTCGAGCCATCAACAACGGAAGATATCAGCTCAACACACGAGCCAGTAACACCGTCTCATGAGCCCAGCACCGAGCCTGTCGAGCCATCAACAACGGAAGATATCAGCTCAACACACGAGCCAGTAACACCGTCTCATGAGCCCAGCACCGAGCCTGTCGAGCCATCAACAACGGAAGATATCAGCTCAACACACGAGCCAGTAACACCGTCTCATGAGCCCAGCACCGAGCCTGTCGAGCCATCAACAACGGAAGATATCAGCTCAACACACGAGCCAGTAACACCGTCTCATGAGCCCAGCACCGAGCCTGTCGAGCCATCAACAACGGAAGATATCAGCTCAACACACGAGCCAGTAACACCGTCTCATGAGCCCAGCACCGAGCCTGTCGAGCCATCAACAACGGAAGATATCAGCTCAACACACGAGCCAGTAACACCGTCTCATGAGCCCAGCACCGAGCCTGTCGAGCCATCAACAACGGAAGATATCAGCTCAACACACGAGCCAGTAACACCGTCTCATGAGCCCAGCACCGAGCCTGTCGAGCCATCAACAACGGAAGATATCAGCTCAACACACGAGCCAGTGACACCGTCTCATGAGCCCAGCACCGAGCCTGTCGAGCCATCAACAACGGAAGATATCAGCTCAACACACGAGCCAGTAACACCGTCTCATGAGCCCAGCACCGAGCCTGTCGAGCCATCAACAACGGAAGATATCAGCTCAACACACGAGCCAGTAACACCGTCTCATGAGCCCAGCACCGAGCCTGTCGAGCCATCAACAACGGAAGATATCAGCTCAACACACGAGCCAGTAACACCGTCTCATGAGCCCAGCACCGAGCCTGTCGAGCCATCAACAACGGAAGATATCAGCTCAACACACGAGCCAGTAACACCGTCTCATGAGCCCAGCACCGAGCCTGTCGAGCCATCAACAACGGAAGATATCAGCTCAACACACGAGCCAGTAACACCGTCTCATGAGCCCAGCACCGAGCCTGTCGAGCCATCAACAACGGAAGATATCAGCTCAACACACGAGCCAGTAACACCGTCTCATGAGCCCAGCACCGAGCCTGTCGAGCCATCAACAACGGAAGATATCAGCTCAACACACGAGCCAGTAACACCGTCTCATGAGCCCAGCACCGAGCCTGTCGAGCCATCAACAACGGAAGATATCAGCTCAACACACGAGCCAGTAACACCGTCTCATGAGCCCAGCACCGAGCCTGTCGAGCCATCAACAACGGAAGATATCAGCTCAACACACGAGCCAGTGACACCGTCTCATGAGCCCAGCACCGAGCCTGTCGAGCCATCAACAACGGAAGATATCAGCTCAACACACGAGCCAGTGACACCGTCTCATGAGCCCAGCACCGAGCCTGTCGAGCCATCAACAACGGAAGATATCAGCTCAACACACGAGCCAGTAACACCGTCTCATGAGCCCAGCACCGAGCCTGTCGAGCCATCAACAACGGAAGATATCAGCTCAACACACGAGCCAGTAACACCGTCTCATGAGCCCAGCACCGAGCCTGTCGAGCCATCAACAACGGAAGATATCAGCTCAACACACGAGCCAGTAACACCGTCTCATGAGCCCAGCACCGAGCCTGTCGAGCCATCAACAACGGAAGATATCAGCTCAACACACGAGCCAGTAACACCGTCTCATGAGCCCAGCACCGAGCCTGTCGAGCCATCAACAGCGGAAGATATCAGCTCAACACACGAGCCAGTAACACCGTCTCATGAGCCCAGCACCGAGCCTGTCGAGCCATCAACAACGGAAGATATCAGCTCAACACACGAGCCAGTGACACCGTCTCATGAGCCCAGCACCGAGCCTGTCGAGCCATCAACAACGGAAGATATCAGCTCAACACACGAGCCAGTGACACCGTCTCATGAGCCCAGCACCGAGCCTGTCGAGCCATCAACAACGGAAGATATCAGCTCAACACACGAGCCAGTAACACCGTCTCATGAGCCCAGCACCGAGCCTGTCGAGCCATCAACAACGGAAGATATCAGCTCAACACACGAGCCAGTAACACCGTCTCATGAGCCCAGCACCGAGCCTGTTGAGCCATCAACAACGGAAGATATCAGCTCAACACACGAGCCAGTAACACCGTCTCATGAGCCCAGCACCGAGCCTGTCGAGCCATCAACAACGGAAGATATCAGCTCAACACACGAGCCAGTAACACCGTCTCATGAGCCCAGCACCGAGCCTGTCGAGGCATCAACAACGGAAGATATCAGCTCAACACACGAGCCAGTAACACCGTCTCATGAGCCCAGCACCGAGCCTGTCGAGGCATCAACAACGGAAGATATCAGCTCAACACACGAGCCAGTAACACCGTCTCATGAGCCCAGCACCGAGCCTGTCGAGCCATCAACAACGGAAGATATCAGCTCAACACACGAGCCAGTAACACCGTCTCATGAGCCCAGCACCGAGCCTGTCGAGCCATCAACAACGGAAGATATCAGCTCAACACACGAGCCAGTAACACCGTCTCATGAGCCCAGCACCGAGCCTGTCGAGCCATCAACAACGGAAGATATCAGCTCAACACACGAGCCAGTGACACCGTCTCATGAGCCCAGCACCGAGCCTGTCGAGCCATCAACAACGGAAGATATCAGCTCAACACACGAGCCAGTGACACCGTCTCATGAGCCCAGCACCGAGCCTGTCGAGCCATCAACAACGGAAGATATCAGCTCAACACACGAGCCAGTGACACCGTCTCATGAGCCCAGCACCGAGCCTGTCGAGCCATCAACAACGGAAGATATCAGCTCAACACACGAGCCAGTAACACCGTCTCATGAGCCCAGCACCGAGCCTGTCGAGCCATCAACAACGGAAGATATCAGCTCAACACACGAGCCAGTAACACCGTCTCATGAGCCCAGCACCGAGCCTGTTGAGCCATCAACAACGGAAGATATCAGCTCAACACACGAGCCAGTAACACCGTCTCATGAGCCCAGCACCGAGCCTGTCGAGCCATCAACAACGGAAGATATCAGCTCAACACACGAGCCAGTAACACCGTCTCATGAGCCCAGCACCGAGCCTGTCGAGCCATCAACAGCGGAAGATATCAGCTCAACACACGAGCCAGTAACACCGTCTCATGAGCCCAGCACCGAGCCTGTCGAGCCATCAACAACGGAAGATATCAGCTCAACACACGAGCCAGTGACACCGTCTCATGAGCCCAGCACCGAGCCTGTCGAGCCATCAACAACGGAAGATATCAGCTCAACACACGAGCCAGTGACACCGTCTCATGAGCCCAGCACCGAGCCTGTCGAGCCATCAACAACGGAAGATATCAGCTCAACACACGAGCCAGTAACACCGTCTCATGAGCCCAGCACCGAGCCTGTCGAGCCATCAACAACGGAAGATATCAGCTCAACACACGAGCCAGTAACACCGTCTCATGAGCCCAGCACCGAGCCTGTTGAGCCATCAACAACGGAAGATATCAGCTCAACACACGAGCCAGTAACACCGTCTCATGAGCCCAGCACCGAGCCTGTCGAGCCATCAACAACGGAAGATATCAGCTCAACACACGAGCCAGTAACACCGTCTCATGAGCCCAGCACCGAGCCTGTCGAGGCATCAACAACGGAAGATATCAGCTCAACACACGAGCCAGTAACACCGTCTCATGAGCCCAGCACCGAGCCTGTCGAGGCATCAACAACGGAAGATATCAGCTCAACACACGAGCCAGTAACACCGTCTCATGAGCCCAGCACCGAGCCTGTCGAGCCATCAACAACGGAAGATATCAGCTCAACACACGAGCCAGTAACACCGTCTCATGAGCCCAGCACCGAGCCTGTCGAGCCATCAACAACGGAAGATATCAGCTCAACACACGAGCCAGTAACACCGTCTCATGAGCCCAGCACCGAGCCTGTCGAGCCATCAACAACGGAAGATATCAGCTCAACACACGAGCCAGTGACACCGTCTCATGAGCCCAGCACCGAGCCTGTCGAGCCATCAACAACGGAAGATATCAGCTCAACACACGAGCCAGTGACACCGTCTCATGAGCCCAGCACCGAGCCTGTCGAGCCATCAACAACGGAAGATATCAGCTCAACACACGAGCCAGTGACACCGTCTCATGAGCCCAGCACCGAGCCTGTCGAGCCATCAACAACGGAAGATATCAGCTCAACACACGAGCCAGTAACACCGTCTCATGAGCCCAGCACCGAGCCTGTCGAGCCATCAACAACGGAAGATATCAGCTCAACACACGAGCCAGTAACACCGTCTCATGAGCCCAGCACCGAGCCTGTTGAGCCATCAACAACGGAAGATATCAGCTCAACACACGAGCCAGTAACACCGTCTCATGAGCCCAGCACCGAGCCTGTCGAGCCATCAACGACGGAAGATATCAGCTCAACACACGAGCCAGTAACACCGTCTCATGAGCCCAGCACCGAGCCTGTCGAGCCATCAACGACGGAAGATATCAGCTCAACACACGAGCCAGTAACACCGTCTCATGAGCCCAGCACCGAGCCTGTCGAGCCATCAACGACGGAAGATATCAGCTCAACACACGAGCCAGTAACACCGTCTCATGAGCCCAGCACCGAGCCTGTCGAGCCATCAACAACGGAAGATATCAGCTCAACACACGAGCCAGTAACACCGTCTCATGAGCCCAGCACCGAGCCTGTCGAGCCATCAACAACGGAAGATATCAGCTCAACACACGAACCAGTAACACCGTCTCATGAGCCCAGCACCGAGCTCGTCGAGCCATCAACAACGGAAGATATCAGCTCAACACACGAACCAGTAACACCGTCTCATGAGCCCAGCACCGAGCTGGTACTGTCGCCTTTGTTTTTTGCATCATTAATACTATTTTTGAATATGGATTTTTAGAGCACGCAGATACCGACACCCTCCCAAAAGTCATGTTCTTGCACGGATAAGAACATATGGCTAGACGTCTTCTTTTTGATCGATACCTCCAAGACCATGGAAAATCATCGCGTGGCCGATGTAAGGCACAGGCACTTTCTCAATTTTTTCTTGTGTATTACTCTTTTTTGCAGGCAGTAGCTTTTATGAAATCCATGTTGCACAAGATGACCATCGGACAAGATGACGGACAAGTTACAAGAGTCGGGTAAGGATGACAATGCTACAGGCAGTACAACTAGGGTTGATGTGAATCTTTTGCAGGTTCATAACCTTTGCTTTTGAAGCACATTTAATTCACAAGCTCTCTCACTTCCAATCAACCGAAGATCTCATGAAAAAATTAAAAATTCGCTATGATGGTGGACATGGCGCCAACGTCAGAGCGTAAGTGTTCCTTTTCGTTGAAGCAGTTGATGAAGAGCATGTTTCTGTATTTTCAATTTTAACCTTTTTAGAGGGATCCGATTGGCTATAGCCAATTTCAATACTCCTCAACATAGAAGAAATGTTAAGAAAGTTCTAGTCATTGTAGGCGCTGCAGAACAGTAAGTCTCATTTTTCGCGCGCTTCATGCCTTTCAATCCTTTCATTCAGTCGCTATTATTACAATGATGCCAGATGGCTAGCGAAAGAATTTGTAGCAAATGGTGGAGCTATTATCACAATTGGTATGTCGTGGAGATTATTTTCAACTATAGTCATGTACAAAAGATTTTTTTGCAGAATATGCCAAACCTAGTTGTAGAACAAGATCTTCACTGAAAGACCTTGCAAGTGATCCCCGGTTTGCATTCTCGAATTGCAGAGGAGTTTTTAACGCAGATGCTGTAAGAAGAGCATTCTGTACTGGTTAGTGTCAGTTTAACAGAATTTTTTTAGAAGTCTCTTCCTTTTCCTCCCTCTCCCCTCCCCTTACCAACTCCTCCCTCATTTCCCAGTATGTTAGTAAAAGAACAGCGTAAAAACAAACGCTTTCAAGCAGACTTAACGCCCTCTGGAAGTCTCAAGAACTATTCCACATAAAAAACATTGGATAAATTCGAGAAAAAATGCCGCCTATTTCAGTAAACTGCTTCTGCCCTAAATATCATGATATTTTCGACAAAGTTACCAATGATTGTTACCGTGTCGTCACCATTCCTGCCATGCAGGTAGGGAAAAAGGCTTAATGTTTTTTTTACTACTTTGAAAATTTAGAGGCTAGCAGTTCAAAATTGCCGCAGTCGACATAATGCTATACTTCCACGAGTGGATAGCTATGGGAAAGCACGCTTCCTCACTTCATGTAATTTTTCAAGTTCTAAAAAAATTCTCGAATAAGAGAGCTTTTTGCAGTGCTTCCATGGCGAACAAAATTCTGGATTGGGCTTAAGAGGGTAAATGGGCGATTCATATGGACCGATGGCAGTGTGGTAAGGGCACATTCGGCCTGACATGAAAGTCATAAAGCGCTGACATATTATTTCAGCTAAACAAAAACGATTACAATCTATGGGCCCCTGGATATCCCAAGAGTAACAAGGGTGATTGTGTATATATGCGCCACTATGGATTGATCAGGTAATTTGTGAACATGGAAATAATTGTATTTCTTTCTCAAATTATCAAAATTTCAGCCGAGGATGGTACAATGATGACTGCAGCAATGATCAAGATTACATTTGCGAAACGAGGCTCTGTGATACAGATCATTACTGTAGAGAGCTATTCTAATCTTTGTACATAAACTACCAATGTCATCTCATCTCTGGTTTCTCACAAGCGGGTACGAGCCAGAAGATGGTTTTGGCTCTAATAAAGAATTTCACATTACTTTTTTTTCTGAGCGCACACACACAGTATTTAAACTCACTATCGAAGTGCAGTATATTTTTTGCTGAAACCAAACAACCAGTGACCCCTGACTCAGGAAAACCATGAAGAATATCAACAGTAGTATATGCAAATTCCCCATTACGGTCATCAATCGAAAAAACCTACATATTTTTTTAACAGATGCCTAACGAGAAGAATGTAAAACATACTTAGATTATTATGGAGGGTGTTCAACCGGATAAAAATATCTACATTACTTTATAGAATGAGCATGTGAAAATGAAAATTAGATACCTTAAAAGAATAACCAGCTGTTTCGTAGGTCTAATTTTCCTGTGGCTAGTTGGTTAAATAAAAAAGGTTCATCCTCAAAAATGAATGGTGCCATTCTTGGGGGGAATTGCTTGCCTTTCCCAAAGTATCGAAAAGTTTACTTAGCACTTTCGCAATTTTCATTTAAGGGTTTCGGCTTCGTTGTAAGTTCTTTGAACATTCTAGAGACATCTAAAGCTCATGAAGATAGATCAAATATTCATTAGTTACCTGTATTAATATTAGGTCATTCCGAAAGTAATTTCGCTTTTTTCAACGGGCGCAACATTTGATCGAACAAAGGTTTCTAAGAAATCTTGAAGGTATTCGATGCAGAATTTCATTCTTTTTCTAATGGTTATAAAATTGTTGCAAAACAGTCAATGAGCAGAAAATAACCAAAGTCTGTGAAATATGCTTTTTGAGATAGTCAAGTTTTACGAATTTTCAAAACTTTCATATCAATCCTCAGAAGGAATTCAAGTAACGATTCAATAGAGTAAACCTTATAGAATACAGTACTACATTTCCTCTTCCTCATGTTTTGCCGTAATATCTGAAAAGATTTTTAAACAAAATCATCGGATTTTGCAGGTCCACATCAACCACAATCGCATCAAACATCATAAATATTCGGAATTTGAGACTACCAAGATGTTACTATGAGTTAGCGTTAATTTTACAAAGCAAATGAGGGTTTACGGGTTCATATCAAATTTCGAGTTTTTCTGGTACAGCCTGGGGCTCGCTAAAAAATGACTATAATGATTTTATCCCCGGAAACTAAACGAATCGAAAACAAAAAACACCTGTTAGAAAGAGGAGACAATGCTGCATCGAATAGTGCGCGAGTGCTCTTCTTTTGATGTTCTACGAGGATTCAGCTGCCCAAGTATGGAAATCGGTAGGCATCAGTTAAAATTCTGTTAAAAATGTATGACAAGCTATGGAAAGAAGACAAAAGTAGTACTGTATTTCATAAGGTTTACTCTATCGAATCTTTACTTGAACTCCTTCTGAGGATTAATATGAAATTTTTAAAAAATCGTGAAACTTGACCATCTCAAAAAGCATGTGTCGCAAATTTTGGTTATTTTCTGAAAGCTGATTGATTGTTTTGCAACATTTTCATAACCATTAGAAAAAGAATGAAATTCTGCATCGAATACCTCCAAGATCTCTTAGAAAACTTTGTTCCATCAAATGTGGGGCCCGTTTGAAAAAAAGCGAAATTACTTTCGGAATGACCTAGTATAAGTCTAGTAGCCTGTTGTAGTCTAGTAGCCTATTCATCACTAATAAGTAGAAATTCACCGTTCCCTCCTAATGGATGGGTTAAGCTGAAAAGTGTCGAAAACAATTATAGCAGTATGGAAAATGACTTTTGTAACCGATCGCCATATAAATGGCGAAATGTAGATCTTCGACATACAGCAATTGCTATGTGGACAATTGAGATTCTGCGCTCATAAATCAGAAATGCTCAAAAATCCTCGGAAAGAATTTCTTCAGTTTACGATATCTCACATATCTCCTTTTTTCAGTCTCTTCTTTAGCCAATAAAATCAACCTTTGCGGTCTCTTCGGCGCTCAAATAGAGTAGCATATTTGTGCAGTTGTGGTTTTGTTCATTTCTTTGACCATCGAAAACGCCCATAACTTGGCCATAAGAGGAGCGCAGCAGATAACGAAGACATTAGAAATCAGCGTTTGATGCTCTCCTAAACATATGAAATTTATCTGGAAAAAACCATCGTGGCTGAAAATACTTCCTTGCAGTACTTATTAGCGTAAGCAGATAGCAAGAAGCAGCTTGAAACTCTTTGTTTGTGTTTGTATTTGATATTTGAAAAATATAATGTTTTTCTCAGGAATTTGCAATGCACTTATTTTTTGAAGGTTCGTCAAAAATTGGTCTGAAGATACAGTTTACATATTGTTCATTCCCTGCACAATTGTCTATAACCTAACCTGAATGTGATGAATTTCTTATAAGCCGAGTTCAGGACTTTCAAACCAACACGTTCAGTTCTTCTTTTTCAGTTCGAAAAACTCCGTAGCTTTTGCAGTATAGATTCAGTGTGCCCATAGAAAGGTAAATCGGTACGAAAAATAAAATTGACCTGAATCCGCAAAATTTTTTGTTCTGAGAAATTCCCTCAGAAGAGGATTTCTTAAGAAGCAAAGCAATCTCAAAATTTCTCCGCTCTCCCAATTTTTGGTTCTTGCAAGCTGTGCATAACGGGACTCGAACTAGTGTCTGGACGAGATAACATCTTTAAGGTGACAAATGAGATGATAAAGGCTTAGGATGGCATGTTAAATCGACTTCAAAAGTAGGTGGCGCCATCATATATATTTCTGGAAAAGCCGTGTGAAAGACTAGATGAAGTCAGTCGATATATAACGGTTTTGTGACAATCTGCATCCTTTCAAGACAAGCTAAATGCCTAGTGTGCGAAATTTGAAAAGAGAATCGTCCACGGCTCTAAGTGACTCATAATTTTTCAGTCACCTTTTTTTCAACAGCACTATTCAACAAAATGGTACTGTTTCTAGTAAATAAACTCTTTATCTTATCCTAATAGAAAACGTGAAAGGAATTTCCTTTATGATCTTCACGATAATTTCAGGGAGCTGATTATGGTTTTTACGAGTCAGATAAGAGCGATACCCTTCTGCTTTATGTCCTATGTTCGGGTTACTGTAGATTCCGAATAATCGCTGCTTATCTCCGAAAAGTATGAAATCGTTGGTCTTTGCCTATTTAACGCAGATTTGATAGCTAATGGTCCTTTTTACCTATGAGGGCCAATTCCAGCATGTTTGTACTTCTCACAAGTAAGAATCCCAATTTCTCAATGGTAATAAATCCATTTAATATCAACTTTACCAGGTCTTTTTGGGCTAGCATGTTGCCATAATGTGAGAACTGCAGGCAAAGTCACGCCAAAGTCAAAAGTGGAAGACTGGAATTCCACTACTATCTTGTCAGTACTGTTTCAAAATCGAGTTAAACCTTAACGAAAATTTGTATAACTATCAAAACAGTAGTTCACATCTTTTCACTCTCAGCTCGTCTGAAAGCACTCCCATAAATCAATGTTCCTGCACCGACAAAAATATCTGGATAGATGTGTATTTTCTCATCGACTCATCTCAAGCTATGACTGCTAATGGATTCAATGAGGTGGGTTAATTAATCTACTTATTGCAGAAATATGATTTGTTGCCTCAAAGAAAGGTAGGAGCAAACTCTCCGCCTGGGTGACAAGCTTACTTACTGCGTAATGCTTCCATAATTCACACAATGTGAACGTATTTCTATTACTTTGACTCCTTTTCTTGTGGGAATGTGCAAAACTACTTTATCGTAAAATTCATCTACTTGCTTACGTCGCCAGTTAGTGTATAATAGATAGATGATCTCTAAAAACTCTTGATAAGTGTATACACAAGACAAAGCTCAAAAATTTTGATCTAACCTTGCTTAGTTTTTTCAAGAGAGCAGTTCCTTCCAGCGTGATACACCCTTTAATTTTTGACCAAAAAACCGGTGGTGATTCTAGAAGCTTCTTTTGTATCCTTGTAAAAATAATACATTGCAGAAGTATGCATTGATTTACATGTGCTTTTTGATCAAAAAGTAGATAGTAGGCCCGCTCCCCCTCCCAAGAATGGGTCGCAAAATTTTTGAAATTTACTTACATGGGTTATAGAAATGCGCAAGTGACATGTTTATTCTTGTGAATAATTAGCATAATTTTTGAAATCCTTAGGATTTCAACTTAGCCTTATAAAAATTTTTTCGGGAGCGTGGTTGCCGCCACTCCACTATTTTATATTTTAGGGGTTGCGGACCCTCAAAAATTTTAAGAACGACCTCAACTTTCAACGCGTGGCTTACATCACCCACTTTATTTCAAAAAAAATTTTTTCGCCCCCCCCCCCCTCCGGACGAAAATCCTGCGACCGCCACTGCTAATTACAGCTGTGACGCATTTCTTAGCTGTAAAGAAAAAAGTATTGGATAGAAGAACGGCAATGCATATTTAAAAAAATCATTTTGCATTACCACATTAGACGCCAAACTCAACAATTTTCAAGGCCGCCTCCTTTGCCGAATCCGTGCTGTATAAATTGAACATTGGACAAGCGGACGGCCAAAGAACTCGTGCAGGGTAAGTTATAATAAAATAAATATTATAGATTTTTATTTATGGAAAGTTATAAAAACTTGGTTTGGGGTGGTAGGGTTTGGCAGTGATGATTTTCATTCCACAGCTTCATCTCTTACTCGGCCAACGCATATAAAAACTACGACTTAACCGCCTTTCAATCATCCGATGACATGATCGATAATTCTTACTTCACATATGATGGCAACAGAGGAACAAATATTGAGTCGTGAGTTTACTAACAAATTTTGGGGAGTTGAGCTACTTTTTTTTAGCTAAATAGAATCTACTAATCCCTAAAATGACAAATATTTTTCAGTGCCATCAAATTAGCTTCAGAAAGCTTCGAAACATCATCGCATCGAAGAAACGTACAGAAAGTTATCGTAATCGTTGCTTCAGCTTACGAGTAAGCTTACTGATTTGTTGCACAAACGCAGGAAAACGATGGCCATTTAGAAGCGGAAACTACGATGACCCAACTAAAATCGCCAAATCATTCATTCAAGACGGCGGTTTCATCGCCACCGTAGGTAAGCGGAGTGGATTAAGCTTTGTTAGAGTAAACTAAGCCTCCTTAGTGCACAAAACCTTAGTTTAGGATAATTCATCCCATTTTTCGTTTTCCTGCAAACTCAATAGAAGTGACTTGATTACTGTAGCCAAAGCCGAAAGTCTTGATGAGTATGTCTCTTTTCTATATAATGCACTTTTTCCAGAATATTTGCAAGAGCACGGTAATCCGGTACCTTTGTTGAACACACTTTCCAGTGGACCGGAATATTCCTTCACAAACCGTTTCAGAAATCTTACAGCCGAGCAAATTCGACAAGCTTTCTGCAGAAGTGAGTTTTACTAGAGATTTAGTAGCACATAAGCGTCAAAGATACTGGGTAGATAAATACAGTAACGGATGATCAATGAATCAGTAAATTGCTGTGCATAAAAAATACGATACTACTGTTTTTGCGGTTGGATAATTTCCTTTGTTTAAAGTCTAAGCTCGATTACTGATTACTGACTGCTGTGTTTCCTGGTTGCTCAACTTTGGACGAAGACTGCCAAGGTTATGACGGTGAAGGCACCGAAACGTTAGCCTGACTGAATAAAGCGTGTTAACAATCTTGGCTAACGGTTAAAGAATACGTATACAAATTTCCGTTAGGCTTTTGCTTCTAAAAACTTCATATTATAACAATTCCCCCACAATGGTCGGCCGCCTCAGCGTGACGTGGGGGTGACACTGGGTGTCGAACTGTGATGCATGCCGAGTGTATACTCTGGCAGGGTTTCTCAAGCTGTGAAGGAGTTCGACGTTTCCGGTTTCGGCCAAACTTAGCTAAGAACCGGCCGAGCCAGATTCACCGCCGTCTGACTTTTTCCGGTCGCTTGGCGGTCTTCCCCGCTCCGCACCCGGATCACCGATCACCCTGTGAAAATCAATAGTAGTCCCAGCATGTCTGCTCTTGTAGGGGATAAATTATTATTTCGATCAGCAGAAAGAAGAGAAAGAAATTCTGCACATCAGATTTCGCCTATAGCAAGAACGTTGTCAGGGTACTCAAGGCGCCCTTTGGACAAAAACGACATGTCAGCCAGGACGACACGCCATGGAGACTGCCTCATGCTCTACACCTACAACGCCAGGACAGTCTCCACAAACGCCAACTTCCACGCTCTTCTCGAGCTGCAGAGCACATCAAATACCGCGTCATCGCTCTGCAGGAAACGAAGTCCAGGAAGAAGGACGTGCGACAGATGAGTGGTGGGACCATCATCATTTTCGGTGAAAAGGTTCTATCAGAAAAGTTGGAGGCGTTGGCTTTGTCGTCCACCCATCAATCGTCCATCTTGTCGAATCGCATGAGATCCTGCCACCTCGATTAACCATCCTACGACTATGACCTCCACGTCAGAAGACCATCAGCATCATCAACTACTAATCCCCAACATCAGCAGCTGGCGACTCAGAACTAGATGCTATCTATGAAGGCGTGGAGCATGTCGTCCGCAACGAGAAGATGCCATTAGAAGAGGAATATAGGATCGTGAAGTTTGGATATGGGCTCTGATAAAGTCTGTCACAGTGCCGTGAGAAGGAAGGAAGTCGTTTATGATAGTAATAGGCTGGAAGAGCTCGTATCAAGTTTTGACTGGCCCATTGAGGAGTACCCAACGTACGACTACGACCAGCTTTTGAAGGGATTGCGAGCTTGCGGAGAGTGCACCTCAGTGACTTCTGTGAAGAACTTGAATCGCATTTCGAAGACAGCTAAGGACTTGCTCGAAAGAAGAAGACTACTGTAGCAGAATTCGAATGCAAACCATCTTGAGCGACTGATAGCCAACGCCAGTTACAGAACAGCTTTGCAGGAGGATCTCAGGAAGTACAGGCACGCCAAGATACTGGAAGCAGCCGAAGGAATACGAAGTCTCAAGAAGTGCCGAAGGGGCTCTACGAAATATCATGTACCGCTGGCTGCACTACTAAACAAAGACAAGACTTTTTCCCGATATAAGATAGAATCTATCGCGAAGAACTTTTAGATCAACCTCTTAAGCACATCAACACACGTGCCGTTCTCCGTTGTTCCCACTGGAAAAGTACCACTACGAGTCCTACCTGCTGAAGTGCGCACGGCTGTATAGACCATGAAGACGTCCACGACTCCAGACCATCTTTCCGTCGAACTTCTGCGAGCCGGAGAACACCGTTTTCACGAAGTCCTAACGTCGCGTTCAAAATCTTACCTTCAAAGCAAAAAATTCCGGACGAGTGGAGAACGTCAGGAAACTTCTTTCTTTTTGAGAAGGATGAACGGGAGAATCTTCAGAAGTACCGTCCAATTTGCCTGCTGAGTGTGCTGTACAAGCTTTTCACGAAGATCATCTTCACTCGCATATCTAGGACAGTGGATGAGGCCCAACCCCAAGAACAAACTAGATTACGCAAAAGATTCAGTTACACGGACCATATCCAGACGGTTTCGAGGGTTATAGAAGTCTGCCGGAAATACTGACTGCCCCTCGTCCTAACCTTGTCGACTACGAAATTGCCTTTGACAGCGTCGAGACTAACGTCATTCTGTTTGCGCTAGTCGAGTGGTTTTAACTCACGTGAGGACACTAGCCGATTGCTACAAGGACTGTACAACAACGATGCAGTTATTCCATTGCCACCTGATCATTCCAGCCGGAAAGGAGGTCCGACAATGCGACACAGTGTCAGCTGTTCACCGCGGCCTTGCAGTGGGTGATGAATTCACTAGACTGGGACGGGAAAGGCATACGGTTGATGGAAGATTCCTGTCTAATTTCTTTTTGCGGACGACATCATTCGCTTTTCGAGCAGTATCACTGAAGCAGAGACGATGCTGAAGGATCTAAACGAAGTAGGGAAGAAGATAGGACTGCGAATAAATCGGAAGAAGACCCAGTTCGTAAAGAACGCTTTTTGCGAAAATGCCGAAATGAAATTGGAAGGCATCCCTATCATTAACACGCCTTCTTAGGTGTATCTCGAACATTCGATAAAGGAGAACGACTTGAGGGAAAAACTTAACAGAGAAGAAGAGCAGCTTGGGCCGCCTTCAAACCTTTGAAAGAAGCCGCCGACCAACAGACGGGCGCGGAGCTTCATGCCCACCTGTTCGACTCAACCGTTCTCCCGGCACTACGTTACTCAGCTGAGAACTGGGCCGACACTGGAGCCGCTCTGTGGGTGATCGAAAGCTCTAAGGACCACCCAAAGAGCCAACACAAGCAACATCTAGTCGGACTCCGCAGTGCGGATATGAGAAGAATGTCCCGTTTCAGCTAGTCCATCCCAGCGGAATACGTTGCGAAAGCGAAACATAGATGGGCCGGTTACATCATGAAAAGAACAGACGACGGATGGACACTGAGAACATCGGAGTGGATATCTTGCGGAGCGAAACGTCCTCGAGGAAGATCACCGACGAAATGGGCAGACGTGTTCGTGGAACGGATGGACCAGCTGAGAAATAAGCGGATACGATTATCGCACCTGAACTCGTGGACGCAACCACCGACGGCAACCAAGAGGATCGTGGATGTCTGAAGCGAGGGACAGAGACAAAAGGCGACTTTTGTGCTGGGACCTGCACGCCACGTAAAGACGGGCCATCTAGGTATCTGATTGTAAGTAAGTATTATAACAGCTTGTCCATTCAACACGTCATAACGTGTCGACTGTGGATGTACTGTGTTAGTCGACTACAACATTTATCAATAAGAATGTGCACTTGGTTTGCCAATGATGGCAGCCGAACATATTAACTGAAGTTCGATCTGGCAAAAATCTTCATCAAAGTTCAAAAATTATCTCATTTCAAGTAAGAGCAAAAGACCATGAAAGACGGCCTTCGCCCTTCAATCAGAGTCTGCATATTTTTTTGCGGAAAACAGGAACACTACATAACTAGCATCAACAAGATAGGTTTTACTGATGAATATTATTAACGTACTTATTCAGTTAACTGCTTCTGTCCCGCAAACTATATGCCCTTCATGCAAAATGAGTTACACCAACTGGTGGCTGCTATATAGCCGTTTCTATACCTGCTATCCAGGTATACTTAGAAAATTCCAACCTTATAACTTGTATGTTGCATAATATTCAAGACTCTTGCTGCCAAGGACTGTCCACGATATCACAATGCCTATCTCGTAAAAGTTGAAAGCAGAGCGAAATCACAATTTCTGAGCACAGGTGAGTGATTTTAGTCAGAATTTGGCATACATATTAGGTAGTTCCGTAAGTTCGTGCCGTTTCATTCAATTGCAAGATGCGCATGCAGGATTCAGCAGAGGTGAATCTTTCACACACTGGATGTCGTTTTTTGGGGGAATTGCAAAAGGGAAGTCGTAAAGTGAGGGTGTCCCTGGATCTGACAAAATATTGGTATGCACAGTCTTTACCCTGAACCCGAATTTTAGGCTCTGATGTCATTTCACCAGCAACAAGTGAATTGACACGTTACAAAAGTGATTAATGCATAACTTGTGTACACACGATCCCAACGTGCTAAGACATGATCTTCACACACACAAAAAAAATCAGTATGTTAGTTGAAGCTAAGCAGTACTGAGCCATCAATTTTTGTATATAGCTTCGCGAACAAAAGCAAAACAGAAGTATGAAAAATTATAAAAAAATCAATGAGAGAAGGAGTTGTAAGTACTTTTCTAGATTAGGTTGCTTCCGCGCAAGCTGAGAGCATCATGAGGTTGCGCGGGACCAATCCAAGCCATTTGCTACCCACCCCCTTGCCTCACATGATTTTCCAATATTTTTTTACATTTTTACATCTCTTCTTTAGTTCAAGTTCTACCTACAAGCACTCATGTTGACCCAAGTTTTGTCTCTTCTGCTTTGCTATCGCCCTTAATGTTATAAAAACCTTCTTTTTATCGCCTTCGGATGTTTTATCTCCAACTTTCTTAGTTTCCTTTTCACCTTTTTGCACTCATTGTTGCTTGCATATTTAAGCCGTACTTCTACAAGAGCAGAAGGTTAGTGTAAATTTCAACAATGTCAAAGGGGGCTTCGTTTCAAAGATTTTCAGATGCCAGCCCTGCTGGGCCTTGTGCGCATATCATTGAAAAGAGCTGATCATGCTCTTTGTAACGAACTTATTGATTTAAATGTTGATTCTGATCTAATTCAAACCAGTCTCCAAAAGTGAACTTTCAAGAGGCCAAAATAAGCATTCTCGACACCTGCAGATTTTTTCTTGCAAAGAACTTGTTTTTGTAAACTGTTCTGCCAATTATTGAACAAGACAATCGCACCTCAATATCAAACACAAAATAATTGAATCGCTTCGACCAGGGGTTGAACACTGTGTCCATTAAACAAGCTTTTCTTGGAACAAAGATGGTCCAGCATTGAAAATTGCTGGACGGCAACAAAACACTTATCATACCGTACGCAATTCGACTACACCGTCCAAAAAATCTGCAAAAAAGGACCCAAAAGATAAGTGCGGCAAGTTTTTCTAAACGACAAAATATGGTTCCATACAGCAAACGTCTTCATAACTGTCCCGCAAGTGACCGGAAGGTACAATTTTCTTCAGTCTAACGTACTTCCCAAATCTCGCTCTATCAGATTACCATTTGTTCCACTCTTTTGCAAACCGTATGAGCGGCGCTTGTTCGAGTGAAGGCGATCCTAGGTGCTATTCAGAGGCTTTTTTGGGACCAGACTTATCGAGTTTTGGAAAGGGGATCAAAATTTGATGAAGTTGTAGCAGGAATTTGTGCGCGCTAATTGAACATACATCACAACCCAAATTCTAATGTAATCTCCTTTCAAAGCGGTACGGACTTATGGAATGAATTTCTTTCAGGATACTGCTTAATTTTGCTGACCCTTAATCCCTAGATTCTGCAAAAGTGAGCGTGGCACCATGTTCCCAAAAAAAACTTTTTAAAAGACTAATTTGGATTTTTGAACTTTGAAAATTAGATTGTTTATTTACAAGTTTAAGCAAGTGAATGCACCTTTTTATGACCCTTGCAAATAACTTTCGAAAATTTCGCGATATATTCTGGGCCGCCTTCCTATCCCCCCTCAGTTCGTCACTGGTCAATGGTCCACTATATATTAGGTTGTCCGGAAATTAATGCCCGTTTTGAATTTCAACCTCAACAAATCACACACTTCCCACTTCTAAATAGGTTGCAAAGTACCGTTCGATAGAGCAAAGCAAGCTCTACAATATGGCCATCTTGCTTTTGCGACAGCTCTCATCCACCTCGAATTCCGAGCCAAAAACTTAGAAGACTCAGCAGCCCGAAAAATCGAAAAAAAATCGTAACTCAGTTCATAAAAATCCTACAAAATTTCTTACTTGCTCAAGTAAACACTATCCACGTAAAGCATCTATATGCGCCTTTGCCGCATTTTTTCCTCTGTTAGAAATCAAGAAAACGGAAATTTTCGTGCATTTGCCAAAGTAATGCTGTGCCGTTCCCACATAGGTAGTTGTATAGCACAAGCCCGTAGAAGTACAGACTCAAATTTTCAGCTTTCTACTAGTTCTCGAGAAATTTGAATTTTAGCTTGGACCACTTAACTAGGGAAAGCTATATTCGGTATTTCTCGAGAACTAAAGCTTGTAGAGAGCTGAAAATTTGAGTCTGTACTTCTACGGGCATGTGCTATACAACTACCTATGTGGGAACGGCACAGCATTACTTTGGCAAATGCACGAAAATTTCCGTTTTCTTGATTTCTAACAGAGGAAGAAATACGGCAAAGGCGTATATAGATGTTTTATGTGGATAGTGTTTACGTGAGCAAGTAAGAATTTTTGTAGGATTTTTATGAACTAGGTTACGATTTTTTTCGATTTTTCGGGCCGCTGGGTTTTTTTAGTTTTTGGCTCGAAACTCGAGGTGGGTGAGAGCTGTTGCAAAAGCAAGAAAGCCGTCTTGTAGAGCTTGCTTTGCTCTATCAAAAGGTACTTTGCAACCTATTTGGAAATGAGAGGTGCATGACTTATTGCGGTTGAAATTCAAAACGGGCATTAATTTCCGGACAACCTAATATATGCAATTGTGAAAGAAATACCTTACAGTGTTTCCGTCAAAAACTAAATTCTGGATTGGTTTGAAATACCTCGCCGCTACCGGTCTCTATCAATGGTCCGATGGAACATATCTTGTGAGAAAAACCATCTTTATCTCTGATAACAAAATCATCGACATTTAGTGGTCTTCTGACTTCCAAATGTGGGCTCCAGGATATCCTAATGCTAACGCCGGCTATTGCGTCTACATGTACCAGTATACCGGATTCAGGTGAGATTTTTGTTAATAGCAACTCCAGAACTGTATTCGCAACTTTTCAAGAGTATAACTGCAAAATTGTTAAAAGGTGGCGTGCGACAATTACTTCATTTTCAAAGCTAATGATGAAACGAATTTTCAAGAAATTTTCAAAAACTTTATTTAGTTCACTTTAAATCCCAGAAAAAAACTAAATTTGCAAAAAATTTTCAAAAACTTTATTTACTTCACTTTAAATCCTAAAAAACTATTTTAAAAGGCTAATACAGATTTTTTAAATTTTGAAAATTAAAATGGAAACTAAGTCACAGGCGCAATTTTATCGCCCATGTAGACAACTTCCAAAGGCTTAGAAAGCACTTCTTCCCTCCCCTCCTGGAGCCACCACTGCTTTTCAATCACTTAACTACGAAAAAAAACTAACTATTCAGCTATGGATGGTTCAACGACGAATGCAGTGATGATCAAAACTATATCTGCCAGACGGTTCCGTGCAGCGCCGACAACTATTGTGCCACAAGAGATTAGAAACTTTAGTTTTTTCTCAATAAATGGTCAGACGAAACCCTGAGCTCTGAGCAAAAAATGAATGATTAGAATTGCAATAACTACTCGTAAAAATAAAAATAAAACAAAATAAGACAGCGAAAACTCTTCCGGTTCATGCGCGCTTGAGCGTTTCGATAGCAGTCTAGTGGGCCTCACGGGTGCCTCGCTTATGCGCTTATGAGACACGCGCTATATATCTTATATATAAAAGTGAATGTCTGTTTGTCTGTCTGTATGCATGTACGTATGTTCCGAAAAGAAAATTCCATTTCTGAACCGATTCGAACCCTACTTTGCACACATACATTTCGAGGCGGGGCGGATGTTGTATTCTATTTTTCGTTATCGACCTTAGCGATTTCAATCGATTTGTAAAGTTTGACCTACGGGGCTGAGAGTTGACATAGAGGGTGGTCGAGCATGCTGATTGGAGTACAATAAAAATTTTTAGAATTAGCGATCATTATCGATTTCGATTTTTTTGCAAAAATTGAGCTACAGGGCTGGGACTTGGCACAGGAGGGTAGGAGAACACAGAAGTTTGACCTACATAATCGAGTATGTGATTGCGATTACAACAATATTTCTACAAATTATAGATAACTTCTATCGACTTTATTATTTTTGCAAGTTCGAGTTACGGGGCTGGGAGTTGGCACAATTGGTAAGTGAGCACGCAGCATGAATAGCATGAATAGGGAATTGTAGAAGTGGGCGCCTAGGGTAAGGTTGTAAAGAATTAGGGTGGGAGCTCTACCACAAAGTTTTGAGAGGGTCGGACGGAGTCGGATAAACCAGCTAGTTAGTTATAATCTGGATTATACGAGCAGCTACCCGTCTCGACTAGGATTCGGTGCTATGACGAAAAAACGACCCACGCTACACCTCTTGCTGTGATAAAAGCCGTGCTTGCCTTTGTGGAGCAACGTTCGACAATCCAGTAGTCCGCAATTTGGAAACTGTTTAGATAACAGGTACTTAGCAGAACTTCTTTACGTGAAAGATCTACGTACGATGTTTGCGGGATTCCGGCTTCGATCATAATCGTACAACTGCCACATTACTCCCTGAAAAAAGAATGGTAGCACTATTTAGCTCATGTCCTACTTGACCAAAACACGCTATGATATCCATAATGCCGCCTTCCCCCTGCATATCCTGAGGCACAAACAAAGGGGAAACCAGTTGAAAAATGCGTGTTCTTTTGACGCTTTTGCATAGGATGTGCAATTTTTGTGCACTCTTTTAGATAATTGATACCTTTTTCGCTCAGTGACGTCAATGCGTCCACCAGCACCATTCGCAAACAAAGATGCAAAGGTCTTTCTCTAAACAGTAAGATCAGGAAGGATGTAGCCGGCAATGTATCAAATCAAGGTTAGAATTTGATCTTAAATTGCAAATTGGACAAATTAGTGCATGAGAAGCATGAGTCGAATCTGTCGGATGAGCGGCGCTTTTGTGATTCCTCAGTCCGTCATTTGAATGAGATGTAGCTCCGCATTCTCAAGTAAGCTCATTCCCAAACATAGTTCTTTCCAAGCATTGCGTACGCGGTTGATTCTATTTTGACTGCATTTGTGGACGTTTCGCAGGTGTTTGTATAAATTTGCGACGAAAAGCGCTTTCTGAGCAGATTTTGCAATAGGCGTAATTCTTGTCTACGACCCAAATGAAGGTCGTCGAAGGTCCAACATTAGTCTGATGAGAAAATTACTTTTAGGTGAAAAATGACAGTCAAACTCCCGATTAACTACCGCAAAGACATGTGCTGAGCAAACTTTTAGCAAGCACTCGAACTCTTTTTACACTGTTTTGGGCGTATGCCGAGCAAAGATAAGGTTCTATTGGCAAAGGTGTCATCGATGGTTCAATTACACGAGTTTGGGGTACTTTCTTCCAGCATAATAATTCCAGCATCTGTACAAGAGCTTCAAAACTGAAGGATTTCGTGAGTGTATATTCCGAAAAATGGCATACAGTACCATTGTACGCCTTTCTGACTATACAATCTATGTGTTGTGAAAATTTGAGAGTGGAATCAATAAGTGGAATCAATAGGAATTCCCAAATCTTTGATTGAAGTGCACTCCCTTAAAGTTATTCCGTCAATTTAAAAATTAAATTAGAGATGTAATTACATCATGGCTTTTCGAAGCCAATCTTATACCCACAGAACATCATCGCTTTCTTGAGGGAGCATCTACTACCACTAGCCTATTGGAAAGTATTTTTGACTGGACCTTAGCTATCAACCACAAAAAATCTATAGATATAATTTTCTTTGATCTTTCGAAGGCTTTTGACAAAGTTCCTCATGAGAAACTTATAAAAAGGACTTGGAATTTCTGGTACTCTGCTAGCTTGGCTAATTTCATCTGCAAAACAGACATATGACTGTCAGAATAGGCCATATTTACTCTGAAAAGTACGCATGCAAAAGCGGAGTCCCACAGGGTGGTGTGCTCTCGCCTTTGCTATTCCTGTTGTACACTTTAGACCCACCTAAGATACTGAAGACCTCATCTTCATTCAAAGTACGGGTATATGCTGACGATATAAAAATTTACGGTGTCTACGCTTCTAATGATTTCTTAGAGGTTCAGTCAGCCCTCAGAAATTCTATCAGAAGAATGCTTGAATGGTCGGTAAATTGGGATATTCCTCTCAACCTGGACAAATGTTGCTTTATGCACATTGGGAATACTACAGCATCAAAACATGAAATTGACGGAATAACTTTAAGGGAGTGCACTTCAATCGAAGATTTGGGAATTCTTATTGATTCCACCCTCAAATTTTCACTACACATAGATTGTATAGTCAGAAAGGCGTAAATACACTCACAACATCCTTCAGTTTTGAAGCTCTTGTACAGAACATATGTGTTACCTCATCTTGATTATTGCTCACACGTTTGGAGCCCTTATTGTAAACAAGATGTGAGGAAACTAGAAAAGGTACAACATACTTTTACTCGATTACTATTTCGCAGGTGCTGGTTCAACAGAAACGTTCCCGATTACAATGATCGTCTGAAAATTCTCAACATGCAAAGTTTGGCATACCGTCGGTCGAAAAGTCTCTGATCTGGTTCTCCGCTTTAAAGTCTTACGTAAAGAAATCAGACTCAAAGCTAGTAAATTCTGGATAATTATACCCACCAATCAACGCTCTGGATCGTTCAACTTGCATTATCCCCCAATCAATAAAAAGCAATTTCTGTTAACTTTCAACACATCTTTCGCCTCATATTCTACAATCAAGTAATGTCCAAATGTTCAAAAGAAAGTTATTCAACATTGATTTGGATAGGTTTATGCTGAATTGATGTTGCCTACTTTTTACACATGTTGGCTTCCTTTATCCTCCCATACTCTCTCATTTATCTATTGTAATGCATTTACTCGTACGCACTTATTGTGCATTTTGCAAAAAAATAAATAAAAAATAAGGTGCCTACGGGCTGTGCGGTCCTTCAAAGGGTCGTGCGGCTCTCACTAATTTTGCACATTGTCGCGGAAAGTCGGGGAGAATGCGGCCAGCGCCGCAACTAATCTATGGAAAAGTCGCGATTTGTTCTTTTCAAGCATTCGTCTAAAATTTCCAATATTTTTCCTAATATTTGTGAGTGGATTGCAAGAAATCAGTGAATATTTTCTCGGTGCCAAACTGCCCTAATTCGCATGGCCGCTTGTCCCCGACACGATTGACATTTGACACGATTTGGTACAATTTGACTCGTTTTTTTCGAAGTCGTTTCCAGTGACGTGATTAAAAAGGGCATTTTTGACGAACTAAAAGCCTTTCAACTGTTTTTTTATAAAAGCGAAACTGTCTGGATCTTATCGTAGAGCATTTGATTGCAATCAGTAATAATTTAAAACTGTTTTCTTCATCAAACTTTCCGCCATGCGGATTTAGCCAGGGAAGACTATAAATGATGGCCTGCAGTGTCACGTGCTACTTGATTCACCGGTTGGAGAATGGAATCCTAGCGCAATTCTGCGTTCTGGACAGGTTTAATCTGTTCACTGATTACAGGATGACGTGGTTGTTATAACAGTACTTATTTCTGAAACCGTTTAATTAAAAATGGGGTCATTATTAACTAAAATAAACATCGAATTTCATTAGGTAGGTACACAATCTTCGACGAAACCTGTTAAACACGTTGATGATATGTCAAATTTTTTTTGACACATGGCAAAAGGTTGATGTTCCTTTCTATGAATTTAGGGTAAAACTATTGGAACGCACGGTCCTTTGTGAAGGACAGCACAGCCCATAGGTGCCTTTCACTCGGAGAAAGTACCCCAAACTCGGGTACTTGAACCATTGATGACATTTCTGTCATTGAGACTTACCTTTGCCCGACGTACGCTCGAAACTGCGTAAAAAGAGTCACAGCGCTCGCTGAAAATTTGTCCAGCGCTCGCTGGAAGAAATTATTTGACACCGCTCCCATAAATTCTGTATTGCTGCCCGCTGGCAGAATATGCGACAGTAAAGGAAGTACCGCCCGGCCGCGCCCTAAAATTCTACTGACCACCTTCAAAAAAGCGCTAGTGCGGTCCGCCTGCCCTGACGATTATCTAAGTGAGGGTGCTTCCAGTACCGCGCTGTAGACACCAGTAACCGCCTGTAGACACCTTTGCGCACCCAATATTTCAAAGTCTTTTCAAGACGTAAAAAAATTATGCTATTCGTGATATGCTAATCGTAATTACCATGTCGTATAACCACGCTGAACCAAGTATAAGCAAATTCATAGTTTCAGTTTTGAGGTCCGATTTCTAGGATATGCGCAAAAGCGACTAACGGTGGCTGCCGACGCGGTATGAAGGCATCTTAAGGTATTCAGCTATTTACTGACAACACAAATCTTTTACCGCACGCACGTACCTTTTCTTGAAGATTTAAAAACGCTGTCCCATTGTGTGAAATCAGGGGAATAGTCGCTTATTATAGCCAAGATA